AACCACTCCCCGCGCCCCTGAAACATCCGGGGGAGGTTCCGACGGGGTTCCGACGACGTGCTGGCGCGCGCCCCCAGGAGCGCAGCTGGAGACCGCCCCAAACCTTCGCCTGCGGGAAACAGATAAAGTTCCCAACGAGCCCCCCCTGCCGTTCGTCTCGAGGGCCTCTCTTCTCGGGCTCGGCGATGATCTTGTTCACGCACACGCGGCCCCTGGCTAGCGATCGCAGCTCCATGTCCCGCAACGGCTCGCCGCCAGGCCGGAGAGGAAAAGGGACTCGGCCGATCCAGTTGTCGTTCGCCAGGGCGTACATTGGCATTTTCACTGCCGGCGCGCCCTCCAAGGTCTTGCCGCAATCAAAACACACTTTCACCAGCGGGGCCCGCCCGTGCTCGTCGAGGCTAAGGCAGGGCAACCTGCGAACGTGCAGCAGCCACCGCCACTCGGGCCTGCGCGGGTGCGGCACGCTGGAGGCCCACAGCTCGTGCCGCGGGATCAGCGGCCACCTCGCGGCATAGCGCTCCACGGAGAGGAGCGCGTGGACTTTCGCGGCGGCCTCGGGCCGCACCGCGAAGCGAGCCCGGCGCGGCGGGGCCGCGTCCTCGGCGGGCGGCGGCTCCGGGTGCCCCCGGGGGTGACGCGCAGGCGCGTCCGCCGGCACGCCTTCCGCGCCGTGCCCCTGGGCGCCGTCCGCCGCGGGATCGCCGGCGCCCGCTGCCAGCTCGGGGTCCACGGGCTCCACGAACAAGTCCGCGTCGAAGAGTTCCTCCAGCCAGAAAGAGCGCGCGCAGACAACGCAGCCGCTCAGGGCGCGGCAGGTGGTCGGGGCGGTCTGCCGGCTCTCGAAGTGCCCGGCCCACGCACCCCCCGGTCGGCTCTGCGTCTGGTTCTCCGCGAAGCGTCCGAGCGCGCGGCGCTGCTCGGCGCCCCGGACCTCGAAGGGGCCCTCCAGGTGTTCGTCCGCAAGGATTCTCTTTCGGACCTCTTCCTCCACTCGCCGCGGCGCCAGCAAGCCCCGCTCGGCCTCGGGCAGGTTCACGTGCTCCTCGCGCCAGTGCTCCTGCAACAACTGCTTCGTGGCGAAGTCCTGGCCGCAAAGATAGCACGGGCACGGCTGGCAGCAGACGGGCTCTCTGGGCCATTCGCACCGGCTGCCGAGAATAGCGCTGCCAGGGATATACGCCTCGGCCTGGCGCACCGTGCCCCACAACACGTTGGCCGGGACCGCCGTCTCCCACGCGGCCATGTCCCCGGGCGAGAGCTGCCGGCGCAGCAGATGGCCGCGCTCGCCCCTGACATCCTCCAGCCGTGCGCGGCGCAGGACCTTCAAAGCTTCGAGTAGAAGGCGATCGGGATCGTCGGCCCTCCTGGTCGAGGGCCTCACGTTCAGGTGGCCATGCTCCTCGTAGTGGGCCTGCAACTGCTGGCGCAGAGGGTCCGCCTGCCAGGTGGGCCGCTGCGCCTCCGGGATCCTGTCGAGCAGCTGCTGCCACCGCGCCACGTCGCCCGGCAAGAGCTGCTCGCCAGTGGAGGCGCTGGCGTACCTTCGGGCCATCGCGCTGTGCAAATAGCGGCGCGCCCAGAGGTCGTCGCCGCCGAGGTCTGCTGCCTCGGCGGGCCAGCCTCCGCGCCGCTGGAGGCACTCGCCCACCACGCGCAGGCGCAGATCCTCCGGACAAGATCTGACGAGCAGCTCATCCCGCAGCGCGTCGACACCTTGCTGCCTCTGGATATCCCTCTGCGTCGCGCGCATACCCAAGACCTTCGCCTCGTGCAACGCGGCCATGGAGCTCCACGTGCGCCTGCGAAGCGCCTCCCTGCGATCGGCGTCCATGGCGGTCGCCGTGCCCGGGGCCCGCTGTCGGGTCTGTCGCACGGCCTCCAGGACGTCTTCCACGACCTGCATTTGCTTCCTCTTGCGGGCAGGGACGTTGAAGACACTCGCCGCCTCCCCCAACCAGTCGTCATCGAGCGCTATCCCCGCCTCGATCTGTCTCAGCCGTTCCGAGCGCCGGGCGCTCTCCAGGTCGTAGCGGCTGCGCGTCAGGCGCCCTCGCAAGTCATCCGTGGCCAGAGAAATCAGCAGGTCCTTACACGCGTCCTCGTTGCGCTGGTTGCAGTTGAAGTAGTCTCTACATTCCACCTGCGGCCCTTCGTCCGCGGCGGCCGTCCTCTTCCTGCGGCCGCGCTTGCCCCTGCCTCCCGCGAGGCCCCAAAAATCAGCAGCGTAGCGGGAAGCGGCGAAGTCGGACGCCGCAGGGCGCTTCCGCGCCAGCATGGCGCCCGGCGAAGCCGCCCGGCTGACCCTGGGGGTGCAATCGCCAGACGGCCCCGGGGCGTCGCCGCCGAGGTCTGCTGCCTCGGCGGGCCAGCCTCCGCGCCGCTGGAGGCACTCGCCCACCACGCGCAGGCGCAGATCCTCCGGACTAGATCTGACTAGCAGCTCATCCCTCAGCGCGTCGACACCTTGCGGCCTCTGGATATCCCTCTGCGTCGCCTCCCTGCGATCGGCGTCCATGGCGGTCGCCGTGCCCGGGGCCCGCTGTCGGGTCTGTCGCACGGCCTCCAGGACGTCTTCCACGACCTGCATTTGCTTCCTCTTGCGGGTAGGGACGTTGAAGGCACTCGCCGCCTCCTCCAACCAGTCGTCATCGAGCGCTTTCCCCGCCTCGATCTGTCTCAGCCGTTCCGGGCGCCGGGAACTCCCCAGGTCGTAGCGGCTGCGCGTCAGGCGCCCTCGCAAGTCATCCGTGGCCAGAGAAATCAGCAGGGCCTTACACGCGTCCTCGTTGCGCTGGTTGCAGTTGGAGTAGTCTCTACATTCCACCTGCTGCCCTTCGTCCGCGGCGGCCGTCCTCTTCCTGCGGCCGCGCTTGCCCCTGCCTCCCGCGAGGCCCCAAAAATCAGCAGCGTAGCGGGAAGCGGCGAAGTCGGACGCCGCAGGGCGCTTCCGCGCCAGCATGGCGCCCGGCGAAGCCGCCCGGCTGACCCTGGGGGTGCAATCGGCAGACGGCCCCGGGGCCGCGCGGCTCACCCTGGGGTACACGCGCCACGCGGCCCCTCAGCGGGCAAGCGCGCGCCCGCACGGGAGTCCCCCGGCTGACCCTGGGGGTGGCGGGGAGCGGCGAAGTCGGACGCCGCAGGGCGCTTCCGCGCCAGCATGGCGCCAAAATGGCAACGACATGTTCAATACAATATTAAGAGAGGGTGGACATGGGCTGACCCTGAGGGTGCACTGCCCGGCGGAGAGGAGGAGAAGCGAACGGGGGGGCCGGCTGACCCTGAGGGTGCAATGCCGGGGCAGGAAAAGACCGAGGACGAGGGCTGACCCGGAGGGTGCAATGCCCGGCGGCGAGCAGGAAAGGATAACGGTGAGACCGGCTGACCCTGAGGGTGCAATGCCGGGGAAGGAAACGCGCGGGGGCTGACCCTGGGGGTGCACTGCCCAGCGGAGAGGAGGAGAGGCGAACGGAAGTACGGCTGACCCGGAGGATGCAATGCCGGCGCAGGAAGACAGCGAGGACAGGGGCTGACCCCGAGGGTGCAATGCCCGGCGGAGAGGAGGAGGCCGACCCGGGGGCCGGAATCCTAAGGCGGTGCGGGAAAACGACAAGGCTGCTGGCCTACTCAGAAACCCAGGGCGCGGAGCAAAGAGGCAAGCTCGGATCTGCCGCAAGCGCCTGCACAGCGCCCTCCTTGGACAATTTCTGGCGCTCCAAGACAGCCCAAGAGGCCCCCAAGATCGCCCCAAGACGACCCAAGACGGCCCCACGACGACCCAAGAGGCCCCCAAGACGGCCCAGGAGGCCCCGAGGACGGCTCCAAGAGGGAGCCCATACGGGGGACCCGAACGAACATATCCAGCCCTCCGCCAGAAGGGCGCCCAGGAAGCCCCAACGAGGCTCCCAAGAGACCCCAAGAGCCTCCCAAGAGGCCGCCGAACTACCCCCGAGAGGCTCCCGAGAGCGCTCGTCGTCGTCGTCGTTCAGGGTCGGCGGCACCGGCCGCAAGGCCTCTCCAACAACAGTTCGTCGCAAATGCACAAAGATATCTGAGCCAAGAGCCAAAATGGCTACGACATGTTCAATACAATATTAAAGCAAGCGACGATTGCAATACGCCCCAGCACCCGGGAAGGACCTCTTGGGGGCCGCCTTGGGGTGGCATTCCTAAGGAGCTGTCGCCGTGTATGTCTATCCCCGATGCTGGAGCCAACCAAACAACCGGCCGCTCCAGTTTTCAATGCGTGCAGCCACAATCGTGCAAAATACATGGGGAAATCCATATCCAGAGCAGAAGCCCTCCGACACGAAAAAGTAGATTATCAAGAAAAAGCTACTTTTTGAGAGTTTTCGCGCATCTCGTTATGTCGCAGGAAACGCAAGGAATCCTTGAGATTAATGCCAGCCGCTCTTGAAAACTCGGCGTCCTCTTGGGGGTTTTCTTGGGCTGCTGCGGGCCCCCCGGCTTCCTCCTCGTTCTCATTGTTCTCTCCTCCTCCTCCTCTTCTCCGCCTCCTCCTCCTCCTCCTCCTCATCCTCCTCATCATCATTCTCATCATCATCATCATCATCATCATCATCATCATCATCGTCATCATCATTCCCATCATCATCATCATCATCATCATCATCATCATCATCAGGGCCCGAAAACGGCCCCAGGGGGCAACAAAAAGACAGGAAACCTTCCCGAACCCAGCGCCGCGAAATTCCCTCCCCCTTCCTGCTCGCTGGAACCAGTGCTGGGCCACCTCAGACCCCCAGCCGACTCCGAGGCCTGCCCCGAGACTGGCGCCAGACTGCCTGGAGCAGGCGCCCGACTGGCGATACCCTGCCCTGACGCAAGCGCCTGGGCGGCGAGACTCTGCCCTGGGAGCGGCGCCGGACTGCCTGGAGCTGGCATGCCCGAGTGGCGATATACCCTGCCCTGGGAGCCGGCGCCCCGGCGGCGGTGCCCCACTGATGCCCAGCCTGGCCCTCTCAGAGACGTCCCGGGTCCTCGACCACCCGCGAGCGAGCGCCCGGCTCTGTGCCGCCCGGCTCGTCGCAGACGTTGGACCACAGCAGCGCGTCGCCGCGGCGCAGGGCCAGCCGCAGCCCCAGGTGCGGGAAGAACACCTCGAGCAAGGAGAAGAGGCGGGTCTGTCAATGGCACAGCGACCTCACGCGCGAGATGGCATGGCAACCTTACGTGGTGGCTCAATCACGCGGGCCGCCAGCGCGGCGCGCCACTTTGAAAACGAGGGCGCCCGCACGCGACCTTACGTGGGCAGCTGACGTGCGAATGTCCGCACAGATGAACCCGTTTTTTTTGCGTCGGTCACCTGAGCGACGCAAAGAGACGGGTCTCGCGCGAGAAGACATGACGACCCTGACTGCATTTTTCAAGATTCGCGATAGCGGCCGTTAGGGGGGATGCTCCCCCACCCCTCCACCCCACACCTGGTAACATCACAACTCGCGCTGGCGCCGCTTGGGAATTGCGGTTAACTCCCGGACGGCGCAGGCGCGAATCGTGACGTCATCGGTCCTCTCGCCCCCCACCCCCCTCCTCCGGATAACGGCCGTTATCGCCAGGGGATAAAAAACGGGCGAGTGGATCGTTCCACCTTGAACGATCGGCCGTTTCCGGAACGTCAGATCGTTCAGCATCGACCGATTCTGGGTCGCCAGCAACGTTCAACTTCACACGACGCGAATCTGCCGTAGCGACCTTTCGCCGCGGCTTGCGCGAGCCGCCAGCGTGGCACACCGCGTGGAGACGAGGGCGCTCACGCACGGCCTTGCGCGGGAAGCTTGCGCCAAGAATGTCGGTGCAATCGACCCCGTTCTCTTCCGTCGCTCACCTCGTCGCGGTCGGACAGGCAGACCTTGGCGGCGCCCACACGGGGGTGGCGCGGGGGGGGCGGCCTCCTCATAGAACCCTGAGATCCAGGCGTGGCATTTTTTGCGAGCCCGGCGTTTCCGCTTGTCTCTGGCCCCGGGGACCATCACAGATCGAACGGACTCGAACAAAAACGGCAGCAAAATGGGGTCTCCGGCTCCAGTAGCCTCCTCAGAAGCCCCCCGAGGCGCTCCTGGGAAGGCTCCCCGTTCCTTCTCAGAAGGCCGCCTCCCTCGCGCCACCCCCTTGCGTCGGAGCAGGGCGAGGTGAGGCAACGGCAGCTCAAAATCGATCCCTGGACCCCTCCCGTGGTCCGAGCGCACCACTTTTCCGAGCTGCCGTGGCGACGAGAGGGCCCCCCCCCAAGCCAACTGCCGTTGTCTCATCGCCCTCCTCTCCTTGTGGGCGCCGCCGGCAGACCAACCCCGACTTCTGCCCGCAGCCCCTGTTGCACAGGCCCTGCACGCTGCCGGCCCGCACCTGGGAGCACAAAGAGGTTCCGACACTGCTGCTCCCTGGGCTTCTCCTGGAGTGCGTTCTCACCAATCTGCCGAGGAGAATCCAGCCGTGGCGACGAGGGCTCTCCAGGACGAGCAGCGGTATCGGTACCCAGGGCGCCCGACTTCGCGCATCGCGCCCCGCGATGCGCGGTCGTGTTCGCGTCCTCGCGCCCTCGCGCCGCCGCTCTGGCCCATTCCCCGTGCATCCTTCGGCCTCGTGCGCTCATTTTTCGCAAGATGATCCACGATGCCCCTTCAGTGGTCCTCGCCGAGAAAAAAACATGATGGACCCACGAACCCGGAAAGGGATATAGACATGTGGAGCATGGACACGTTTTCATGATACCCAACTGGGCAACACCTCACGAAACATCCCACGAGACACCTCACGAAACAGCCCACGAGACACCTCACGAAACATTCCACGAGACACCTCACGAAACATTTCACGAGACACCCCGCGAAACATTCCACGAGACACCCCACGAAACATTCCACGACGACAGGCAACCACTCAACCAAGGCGGTGTGGTCGTGCTGGGGAGTGGTCGTGCTGGGGTGTGGTCGTGCTGGGGGGTGGTCGTGCTGGGGGGTGGTCGTGCTGGGGGGGTGGTCGTGCTGGGGGGTGGTCGTGCTGGGGCGTGGTCGTGCTGGGGCGTGGTCGTGCTGGGGCGTGGTCGTGCTGGGGCGTGGTCGTGCTGGGGCGTGGTCGTGCTGGGGTGTGGTCGTGCTGTGGTAAGGTCGTGCTGGGGTGCGGTCGTGCTGGGGTGTGGTCTTGCTGGGGTGGGGTCGTGCTGGGGTGTGATCGTGCTGGGGTGGGGTCGTGCTGGGGTGTGGTCGTGCTGGGGTGTGGTCGTGCTAGGGTGGGGTCGTGCTGGGGTGGGGTCGTGCTGGGGAGTGGTCGTGCTGGGGTGTGGTCGTGCTGGGGTGTGGTCATGCTGGGGCGTGGTCGTGCTGGGGTGGGGTCGTGCTGGGGTGGGGTCGTGCTGGGGTGGGTTCGTGCTGGGGTGCTCCGCACCCTGTGATTTATCGATCGGGTCGTGCTGGGGTGTGGTCGTGCTGGGGTGTGGTCGTGCTGGGGTGTGGTCGTGCTGGGGTGTGGTCGTGCTGGGGTGTGGTCGTGCTGGGGAGTGGTCGTGCTGGGGTGTGGTCGTGCTGGGGGGTGGTCGTGCTGGGGGGTGGTCGTGCTGGGGGGGTGGTCGTGCTGGGGGTGGTCGTGCTGGGGCGTGGTCGTGCTGGGGCGTGGTCGTGCTGGGGCGTGGTCGTGCTGGGGCGTGGTCGTGCTGGGGCGTGGTCGTGCTGGGGTGTGGTCTGCTGGGGTGGGTCTTGCTGGGGTAGGGTCGTGCTGGGGTCGGGTCGTGCTGGGGTGTGGTCGTGCTGGGGTATGGTCGTGCTGGGGTGGGGTCGTGCTGGGGTGGGGTCGTGCTGGGGTCTGGTCGTGCTGGGGTGTGGTCGTGCTGGGGTATGGTCGTGCTAGGGTGGGGTCGTGCATTTCGCTCGAGACATCCTGCCAAAATTCCAGGAAATCGTACAAAAACAAACAAATTAGTCGAAACATCATCGAAATTCCTTCGCGCGGGGCGCTTTTCCGCGTCGCGGTCGGCTCTGCAAAACAAGCGTTTCGCTCGAGACATCCTCGGCAAACTCTGCGGAGCAAGCGTTTCGCTCGAGACATCCTCAACACACGAAAAAGTGGCCCGCACCCTGTGATTTATCGATCGGGATTTCAAAAACATGATGGACCCACGAACCCGGAAAGGGATATAGACATGCGCAGCATGGTCACGTTTTCACGATACCCAACTGGGCGACATCTCACAAAACATCCCACGAGACACCCCGCGAAACATCCCACGAGACACCTCGCGAAACATTCCACGAGACACCTCGCGAAACGTTCCACGAGACACCCCGCGAAACATTCCACGAGACACCCCACGAAACATTCCACGAGACACACCCCACGAACCACATTCCACGGGGGTGCGACTGGGTGTGGTCGTGCTGGGGTGTGGTCGTGCTGGGGTGTGGTCGTGCTGGGGGGGTGGTCGTGCTGGGGGGTGGTCGTGCTGGGGCGTGATCGTGCTGGGCATGGTCGTGCTGGGGCGTGGTCGTGCTGGGGTGTGGTCGTGCTGGGGAGTGGTCGTGCTGGGGTGTGGTCGTGCTGGGGGTGGTCGTGCTGGGGGGTGGTCGTGCTGGGGGGGTGGTCGTGCTGGGGGTGGTCGTGCTGGGGAGTGGTCGTGCTGGGGCGTGGTCGTGCTGGGGCGTGATCGTGCTGGGGTGTGGTCGTGCTGTGGTGAGGTCGTGCTGGGGTGTGGTCGTGCTGGGGTGTGGTCTGCTGGGGTGGGGCCGTGCTGGGGTGGGGTCGTGCTGGGGTGGGGTCCTGCTGGGGTGTGGTCGTGCTGGGGTGTGGTCGTGCTGGGGTGGGGTCGTGCTGGGTGGGGTCGTGCTGGGGTGTGGTCGTTCTGGGGTGTGATCGTGCTGGGGTGTGGTCGTGCTAGGGTGGGGTCGTGCTGGGGTGGGGTCGTGCTGGGGTGTGGTCGTGCTGGGGTGTGGTCGTGCTGGGGTGTGGTCGTGCTGGGGGGTGGTCGTGCTGGGGGGTGGTCGTGCTGGGGGGGTGGTCGTGCTGGGAGGTGGTCGTGCTGGGGAGTGGTCGTGCTGGGGCGTGGTCGTGCTGGGGCGTGGTCGTGCTGGGGTGGGGTCGTGCTGGGGTGTGGTCTGCTGCTGGGGTGTGGTCGTGCTGTGGGGTGTGGTCGTGCTGGGGTGGGGGTCGTGCTGGGGTGGGTCGTGCTGGGGTGTGGTCGTGTTGGGGTGTGGTCGTGCTGGGGTGGGGTCGTGCTGGGTGGGGTCGTGCTGGGGTGTGGTCGTGCTGGGGTGTGGTCGTGCTGGGGTATGGTCGTGCTAGGTGGGGTCGTGCTGGTGGGGTCGTGCTGGGGTGTGGTCGTGCTGGAGTGGTCGTGCTGGGGTGTGGCGTGCTGGGGTGTGGTCTTGCTGGGTGGGGCCGTGCGGGAGCAAGCGTTTCGCTCGAGACATCCTCAACACACGAAAAAGTGGCCCGCACCCTGTGATTTATCGTCGGGATTTCAAAAACAAGCGTTTCGCTCGAGACATCCTCAAATTTTAATTCGCCGGCCTCCTTCGACCTCGTTATTTATCAGGGAAAAAATTCGCCGGCCTCCCTCAAGCAGGCACCGGGGGACAGGTTTACCAACTAAAAGAGAACCCTGGGCTCATGCCCTTTCCGGGACATGATGGACCCACGAACCCGGAAAGGGATATAGACATGTGGAGCATGGGCACGTTTTCACGATACCCAACGGGGCAACACCTCACGAAACATCGCACGAGACACCTCACGAAACATCCCACGAGACACCTCACGAAACATTCCGCGAGACACCTCACGAAACATTCCAGGAGACACCCCGCGAAACATTCCACGAGACACCCCACGAAACATTCCACGACGACAGGCAACCACTCAACCAAGGCGGTGTGGTCGTGCTGGGGAGTGGTCGTGCTGGGGTGTGGTCGTGCTGGGGGGTGGTCGTGCTGGGTGTGGTCGTGCTGGGGGGGTGGTCGTGCTGGGGGGTGGTTGTGCTGGGGCGTGGTCGTGCTGGGGCGTGGTCGTGCTGGGGCGTGGTCGTGCTGGGGTGTGGTCGTGCTGTGGTGAGGTCGTGCTGGGGTGTGGTCGTGCTGGGGTGTGGTCTTGCTGGGGTAGGGTCGTGCTGGGGTCGGGTCGTGCTGGGGTGTGGTCGTGCTGGTGCGTGGGGGTGGGGTCGTGCTGGGGTGGGGTCGTGCTGGGGTCTGGTCGTGCTGGGTGTGGTCGTGTCGTGCTGGGGTAGTCGTGCTGTCGTGCTGGGGTGTGGGTCGTGCTGGGGTGTGTCTTGCTGGGGTAGGGTCGTGCTGGGGCGTGGTCGTGCTGGGGCGTGGTCGTGCTGGGCGTGGGTGGGGGTGTGGTCGTGCGTGCTGGGGCGTGGGGTGTGGTGTGCTGGGTTGGGTCGTGCTGTGAAGGTCGTGCTGGGGTGTGGATCGTGTGGGGTTGTGAAGTCGGATTTCAAAACAAGCGTTTCGCTCGAGACATCCTCAAATTTTAATTCGCCGCATCAAAAACATGCGTTTCGCTCGAAGAAACATCCTCAATTTTAATTCGCCGGCTATTTATTTTATCATGGAAAAAATTCGCCGGCAATTCGCCGGCTCGTTATTTATCAGGGAAAAAATTCGCCGGCAATTCGCCGGCTCGTTATTTATCAGGGAAAAAATTCGCCGGCCTCCTTCAAGCAGGCACCGGGGGACAGGTTTACTAGTAAAAGAGAACCCTGGCTCGTGCCCTTTCCGGGAACAAGCGTTTCGCTCGAGACATCCTCAAATTTTAATTCGCCGGCCTCCTTCGACCTCGTTATTTATCAGGGAAAAAATTCGCCGGCCTCCCTCAAGTTGGCACCGGGGGACAGGTTTACCTACTAAAAGAGAACCCTGGGCCAAAGCCCTTTCCGGGAAAAAAACGCACACGTCGGAGCGATGCCGAGTTCCTACTCTGAGCACCAGGCGCAGGGGGCCCAGGTGGTCCAGCGGGAACCGAGCCGCCGCGGCCAGGCGGCCCTCGAGCGCCTCGACCGTGGAGCTCTCGGCGACCCCGAGGAGGCGCAGCAGGTGGGTGCCGCCCTGCAGCAGGCAGCCGTCGCCCTCTGCGGGCGCCGCCTCCTCGCGGCCGCCGCAAGGAAGGCTCACAGAACCCGGGAGGACGGCCCCTCCAGGCCTGCCTTGGCCTTCCCTACAGGCCTTGCCTGAGCCTGCCTTCCCCTGGGAGGAAAGGCTCCCACAGGCCTCTTTGGGCCTTCCTGGGCTTACCCAGACAAGCCCTAAGCTAGTTCCCCTAGGGCCTTGGGTTGGGCCTGCCCTAGGCTACCCCATACCCTAGGGCCTTGGGTGGGGCCCAGGGTAGTGGGGCCCCCGGGCTCTGTACCCCCAAGAAGGGCCGCCTCTCCTCCCCGCGCGGGCGCCCGGCCAGCTCGAGGAGGTGGTCCACCTCGTCGTCTCCCGCGAGGCAGGGCACCGCCGTGATCTCGGGCGTGGATTTGAGCTTGTAGCTGCGTGTGCCCCGCGCGCCCTCCGGCAGCGCGCCGTGCCCCTCCGGCCAGAGGGCCCGCACGTCCACGGCGTGTGCAGCCTGCAGCTGCACCTCCGCCTGCGAGCATCGTTTCACCGATTCCTGTTGGCACTGGCGTGGCCTTGGACTGGCCGACTTCCCCGCCCAGGAGGGTGGGCTGGCGGGGCTGAGATACTCAGAGGATGAACATGATGGACCCACGAACCCGGAAAGGGATATAGACATGCGCAGCATGGTCACGTTTTCACGATACCCAACTGGGCGACATCTCACAAAACATCCCACGAGACACCCCGCGAAACATCCCACGAGACACCTCGCGAAACATTCCACGAGACACCTCGCGAAACGAAACATTCCACGAGACACCCCGCGAAACATTCCACGAGACACCCCACGAAACATTCCACGGGGGTGCGACTGGGTGTGGTCGTGCTGGGGTGTGGTCGTGCTGGGGTGTGGTCGTGCTGGGGAGTGGTCGTGCTGGGGTGTGGTCGTGCTGGGGGGTGGTCGTGCTGGGGCGTGAATTCGTGCCTGTGGTGGTCGTGCTGGGCGTGGTCGTGTGTGGGTGTGGTCGTGTGGTGGATGTCGTTGCTGGGGGTGTGGTCGTGCTGGGGAGTGGTCGTGCTGGGGCGTGGTCGTGCTGGGGCGTGATCGTGCTGGGGAGTGGTCGTGCTGTGGTGAGGTCGTGCTGGAGTGTGGTCGTGCTGGGGTGTGGTCTTGCTGGGGTGGGGCCGTGCTGGGGTGGGGTCGTGCTGGGGTGGGGTCGTGTGTGGTCGTGCTGGGGTGTGGTCGTGCTGGGGTGTGGTCGTGCTGGGGTGTATGTCGTGCTCTGGGGTGTGGTCGTGCTGGGGTGTGGTCGTGCTGGGGTGGGGTCGTGCTGGGGTGTGGTCGTGCTGGGGTGTGGTCGTGCTGGGGTGGGGTTCGTGCTGGGGTGGGTGTAGGTGTTGGGGTGGTCGTGCTGGGGCGTGCTGCTGGTCGTGCTGTGGGAGGTGTGTGTGTGGTCGTGCTGGGGTGTGGTCGTGCTGGGGTGGGGTCGTGCTGGGGTGTGGTCGTGCTGGGGTGTGGTCGTGCTGCGTGCTGGTGGGTGGGGTCGTGCTGGGAGTGGTCGTGCTCGTGCTGGGGCGTGGTCGTGCTGGGGCGTGATCGTCTGCGTGCTGTGGTGAGGTCGTGTCTGGGGTGCTGTGGTGTGCTGGGGTGGGGTCGTGCTGGGGTGGGGTCCTGCTGGGGTGTGGTCGTGCTGGGGTGGTCGTGCTCGTGCTGGGTGGGTCGTGGGGGTGTGGTCGTTCTGGGGTGTGATCGTGCTGGGTGTGGTCGTGCTAGGGTGGGGTCGTGCTGGGGTGGGGTCGTGCTGGGTGTGGTGGTCGTGCTGGGGAGTGGTCGTGCTGGGGTGTGGTCTTGCTGGGGTGGGGCCGTGCTGGGAAACAAGCGTTTCGCTCGAGACATCCTCAAATTTTAATTCGCCGGCTCGTTATTTATCATGGAAAAAATTCGCCGGCAATTCGCCGGCTCGTTATTTATCAGGGAAAAAATTCGCCGGCAATTCGCCGGCTCGTTATTTATCAGGGAAAAAATTCGCCGGCCTCCTTCAAGCAGGCACCGGGTGACAGGTTTACCTAGTAAAAGAGAACCCTGGGCTCGAGCCCTTTCCGGGAAAAAGGTACTGTTACCGCTACCCTGGCCTCGTTATCGCCATTTGGGCGTCATGGGAAGCCCTCGACGCCACGGCTGGATTCGCCTTGAATTCTGGTCAGAACGCAACCCGGGAGGCCCTGGAAGTAGAGGTATTGGCACCCCTTGCTTTCCCTCCAAAAATGGCCCAGTGGGGTGGGCATAGTTTGACACTGGTGAGCCTGTGGGCTGTGCACCAAGCGCATGCGCTCGGTGTTGAAGAAGCAGTTGATCCCGAACTTGACCCCGCTCTTCGGCGGGCGCCCACAATGGCACAGCCTGCTGTCCTCCCGCCCGTCCGGCGTCGTGTTGGTCCAGATCACCGCGCAGCCCGCGCGGGGCCTGAAGCTCAGGCCCAGGTGCGGGAAGAAGGTGTCGCCGCCGGGGTCGTCCTCGGGCAGATCGTTGAGGTAGACAAAGACGGTGCGGGGCCTGAACTTGCCGTCGTGGTGCTCGTTGAAATGCTCCCCTGGAGCATACCTAACGACAGTAGGCCGCTCCAGCGTCTCCACCGGGAGCTTCGCCAGGCTGGCCAACCTCAGCTCGATGCGGCCCACGGCGGCGGTCTGCATGGCCCTGAGCACGCAGCTGGTGGACGTGCGCGTCTGCGACTGCCTCGCCTTGATGCCGTCCGTGGCGCCGCTGGGCGCGCTGGACTCGGCGCCCGCGCCGGAAACACCCTGGGCCCCGGCAGCCGCGAAAGAGCTGACCAGCGAACGCGTCCAGAGGCCATCCGCCAGCTCGAGCACGTGGCTGCACTCTGCCTCGGAGAGGAAGTGGGGCACGACCACGATTCGAGGGCCGGCCGCGCCCAAGGGGGGAAGGCAGATAGGTGGCGACATCCGAAGCCTACCCCCACCAACCATCGCTTCTCGTGAGTCGTTGGGAGGCGGGGGTTAGGGCTCCGATTTCGCCACGCGGTCGACGAATTCCGAACCCTACCCCCGCCGCCAATCGAGTTGCCTGAATCGCGAATCGGCGAGGGCGGGGTTCGCATTCCGCCGCCGAGCAGGGTGGGCGGGCCGGAAGGCTCAGCAGGCCTCCGCCCTTCTGAGAAGCGCTCGGCACCTCCTCCGAGGCCGCAGGCTGCCTCCCAGAAGCTCCCTGGCTTTCTGAGACGCCCCGCCGCCCTCTGAGAAGGCCTGCCCCCTCAAAGATCCCCTCCTCCTCCTCCTGCTCCTCCTCCTCCTCCTCCTCCTCCTTCTCCTTTTCCTCCTCCTCCACCTCCACCTCCTCCTCCTCCTCCTCCTCCTCCTCCTCCTCCTCCTCCTCCTCCTCCCCCCCATCCCCAAACAGAGCTTGATGGGGTCTCCTCCTCCTCCGCCTCCTCCTCCTCCTCCTCGGGTGACCCAGCTTTCGACCGTCGTCTGATTTTCGGGTCGTAATTCGGGTCTCTGGCGTCCGTTCGGGACGATCTGGCACCCCCGGAAAGCTCCTGGCGAGGGTGGTGGAAAACCGCCGAGAACCGACGAAACCGCCCGAGAACCTCGAAACTCGAACCCGCAACGTTCCCCCCTGAGCCAAATCGATCCCTGGACCTCTCCTGGGGCGCCACAGGCACAGGACGAGCAAACACCTCCACAGAGCGAGCCTCAAACCTCGAACCCCTGAGCCTATCCCCCCTCGGCGCGCCGCCGAGAGGGTCTTCGCTCACGACGAAGGTGCGCAACGATACCGGCTGCCCTGTGTGCGGGTCGCGCCGCGGAGGCACCGCGTCCTTGCCGAGCAGCTGCACGGCGTCCACGATGCCGATGGCCTCGCTCTCTGGCAGGACCGTGACCCGCGCCATTCGCGGGGCGGCGGCGCCCTGGGGAGCACCCAGGGTTCTGGCAACAACGGCACTTGAGCCAAAATGGCTCCGAGGCGAGCATCGGAGGTTTTCGGGAACGTTCGTTGGCTCTTGGAATTTCTGGCCTTGGGATGCTTCCCAGCAGCTGCGCCTCGCCCACAAGGTTCCGGGGGTGCCCAGATCGTATCCTAAGTGGCCGCCGGAGAGGCCCGAGTCATGACCCGAAAGCTGGACGACGAGAATCTTTGAGGGGCGCAGGCCTGCTCCGAGGGCGGCATGAGCTTCTCAGAAGCCCTCCAGTCTCCTGGGAAGCCGTCTGTGGCTCCGGAGAAGGCATGGAGATCTTCTCGGGAGGCGGAGGCTTTCCGAGCCGTCTGAGAAGGCCCGCCCCCTCTGCCTTCCCCCCTTGGCACGTCGCCGAGAAGTGGCAGCGGAGGCACGAGGGAGGGTGGGACGGGAGGAGAGGCGTCGCAGGACTCATTCCGATGGCCTGTAGGGGGGAGAGAAAGAGAGAGGGAAGAGAGCGCAAGAGAGGGAAGATGGAAAGAAAGAGAGAGAGAGAGAGAGAAAGAGAGAGAGAGATATTTACTTATATCTATATACAGAGAGAGGGGAACAAAAAACGAGAGAGAGAGAGAGAGAAACAACAAAGGAGAGGATGCACACTGCAACTTGCGGGCCAACCTCGTTCACGCCCCTTGCATCGCTGGCTCTGGATATAATGCCTCCTGTCCGGCTCCTCACTCCCTCCCTCCTTCCCTCATCCTCCTTCCGTCCTCCCTCCTTTCCCGCTCCTCCTTCCCCTCTTCTGGTTCCTTCTCGTCGTCCTCCTCCTCCTCGTCATCGTCAGTATCGTCATCTTCATCATCATCATCATAATCATCATCATCATCATCATCATCACCACCACCACCATCATCATCATCACCATCATCATCATTATCATCATCATCATCACATCATCATCAGCATCATCATTATCACCGCCATTCCCATCATCACCACCACCGTCATCATGGTCATCATCACCATCACCACCACAATCAACATCATCATCGTCATCAGCATCACCACCACCATCAAAAACAACATCATCATCATAATCATATTCATCGTCATCATCATCATCATCGTCATCATCATCATCATCACCATCATCATCATCATCATCATCATCATCATTATCACCATCACCACCACCACCACCATCACCATCACCATCATCAGCATCATCATCATCAATCATCATCACCATCATCACAATCATCATCACCAGCATCATCATCATCATCAGCACCATCATCATCATCATCATCATCATCATCATCGTCGTCACCATCACCATAATCGTCATTATATATCATTATCATCGTCATCATCACCATCATCATCATCACCACCACCATCCTCATCATCATCCTCATCTTTCCTCATTTCTCGTGTTCCTGCTCCTCCTCCTCCGTCCCTTCTCCTTTCAAATAACTCCTGCACGTCGGATCACCCGACGTGTCTGTTGGCCGAGCCTGAAGGTGCGCTTGAGTCTTCCTTGCAGCTTACTGCTCCGAAGCTTTAAACTTCCAACATCTACACGCTACACGGATGGAGGCGGTGACGTTTCAAGCACAAAGCGTTGCCAGTATTCGACTCCAGGGAAGACAGTCATCCAGTCCCTGGGTGGATGCGTCATTCCCGGGCTTGACCCGTTATTCACCAGTGGGAAAGGGAAATGTCTAGTGGAAGTGAATCGCCGAACGTGCTGCCTAATCAACAAATAGACAATGGAACATTTGTCACAGATGTCAAGCAGTAGTGGTCTACAGTCAACGAGCACGCAACGGTTGTCGAGAAAACCAACTGGGGAATAACTCGACGCGGAGGTGTCTCGAATAGAACACATGAGTCCATTTGTACTAGTTGCGCCTTGGTTGTGTATGCCGTCTGCGCCCAGGATGTGTTGGTTATGATGATGCACTCTTGCTGCACTCGCTACAGTCTGAAGGATGCTCCAATTACGTCTTAGCCATGCCCCGATATCTCTCAGCAGCCACATAGATTGCGCCGCGTAGCTCCCACAGCACGGCTTGCATCATATACATGCGCGTACATGGCTTGCCCACGTAGCTTGCACATTCACGCTGTGCAAAAACACTGCTTGCGCGCACGTACAAAACGCGCACACAAGCACACACACACACTTTTTGGCGGTAGCGGCCTCGCGTGCGGCGAAGAGGCGGAGCGAACCACAGTGCGCGCGTCGGCTGGGCACTCAAACATCACGCAGCACCAACCGGCATCAGCCATCTGGGCGTGGATGGCATTTGGATGGCGAGAGGTGACGCGCCATACCGTGGGACACACGCACACACATGCATTGGAAGGGTTCTAGAGAGAGTCCTTCGAGAGTACCAAGACAGTCTTAAGGGAGCTCTGAGAGAGTCGTGAAAGAAGATTTCGAAAAGGCGCTAAGAAGAGTTCTGAAATAATTCCACGAGAGTGCTGAGAGAGTTCTGAGAGAGTGCTGAGATGTCTGAGAGAATTCTGAAAGAGCCTCTCAGACACCACCAAGGAGATTCAGGGATTCCCGAAGCATGTAAGAAGCATGTAAAAAGACCGAACAATGCACGTAAGAAATCAGCAGGAAGCGTCAAAGAAAGTGCGATAATACTCTTATAAGCCCTGGCCAGTCCGAAAGCCCAAGAATAACCCAAGAAAGCCGGATCATCGGGGAAGGCCCCATTAAAACGGGGAGTACTCATCCAATAAGTCCCTGGCTTGCAGTAGGTGGGGGTGGGGGTGGGGGTCGGAGGTGGAGGAGTGCAATTCAAACTTGCAGGAGAAGGTAATGGTTGGGTCCCACAACTCTGGTATCTGCTCCTGAGGGCTTGACGACTTTCCTCGAATCGGCTTGCGGGTCCCAAGCTGGGTATATTAAAATAATTACGCGTAGTTCTATGCGAATTTGGATACAACAAGATAAATCACAAGATATTGTGGTAAGTTAGGAAACATATTGGAAGCTCCAGCGCGAGTCGAGAGGCAGCAAAAATCGAAATATGCTTAACGACTCCTTGGAGTCCCGAAACGGTGCGGTGACAGACCGTGCGGTGACTTCTAAATCCCCCGAGACCTCACCGCATTGTCCGTCAACGCACGGTTCCGGGACCTCGGATGCCCCAGCCGCCCGAGACGCCCACGGAGAACGACCCGAGTCCCAAAACCGTGCGGTGACCCCGAATCCCCACCGACTCACCGCACGGTGTGGTCACCACACCGTTTGGGGGCCCCCGAGACTCCAGACGCAGCCCAACCACCCCCTGCGCACCAGCGGACCAGGGTATTTTCTTGCAGCTTCCCCTGCCTGCTGTCGCTATCCCCTCCTCCTCCTCCTCCTCCTCCTCCTCCTCCTCGTCCTCCTCCTCCTCCATCTCCTCCTCCTCCTCCTCCTGCTCCTCCTCCTCATCTTCATTATCACCATCACCACCACCACAATCTACACCATCAACAGTAGCACCATCCCATCATCATCCTTCACCTCGTCCTCGTCTACCAGTTCCGTGTGTTCTTTTCACAATTTGCTCACCGTCATCTGCCCGCATGGACTGATATTATGGCGACACAAGCGTTTCGCACCGTACTTCTTAGCAACACGCGAGCCCTCAAACTCTGCAGCAGGCTCATACGTCGAGGGAGGGAGGCTTAGTGCATGGGGGCCTCGTTTGAGATGATCGTGTACCCCTCTGTCGGGTTTCACCGTTCTCCTCCTCCTACTCCTCCTCCTCCTCCTCCTGCTCCACCACCGCCTCCACCTCCTCCTCCTCCTCCTCCTCCTCCTCCTCCTCCTCCTCCTCCTCCTCCTCCTCCCCCTGCTCCTCCTCCTCCTCCTCCTGCTCCTCCCTCCTCCTCCTCCTCCTCCTCCTCCTCCTCTCCCATCCTCCTCCTCCTCCTCCTCCTCCTCCTCCTCCTCCTCCTCCCCCTCCTCCTCCTCCTCTTTCCACCTCCTAGGCCTTCCCGCGGTCCTTTTCGACCTCCTCCCCTTCACCACCATGAACGTTGTCACCACCATCATCATTATTACGTTCTGCCTCACCATCACCCTCCTCTTGTCTCCTACATCCACCAATCCGCTGACCTCCTCACCCATGTCCTATTCGTTCTAGTGCGTCTCCTCCTCAGCATCCTCATTCTGCATCTTCTTATTCTTAGTCTTATTAATATCTTCTTAGTCGTATGTTTATGATTCGTATTCATCTTGTTCGTCTTAGTCTTATTAATATTCATAGTGAATGTTTTCTTCTTCTCATTATAATAGGCGGGCGCGGTCTTACAAGGCCGGGATGACCTACACTTGTTGCGGCTTCCTTCAAGAGAAGAACAAGAGAGAGACAGAGAGAGACAGAGAGACCCCCAGTTTCCCTGCGCGCCCCGCGATGACTGACCTTAGGCCTTAAGGGCCTTGACCATAGGCCACAGGGTCGGATGTCTCTGGGGGGTTGTGCTTTTTCTGCCTGCGAGCTGTTTTGGCCGGGTCTTTTGGTGGGTAACGCGCTTCGTGACGTCACACTGGCGGGGTGAGACGACGGTGGCGCGACGGTGGCTGGGGGGGGGTGACGACCTTGGCTGGGGGTGAGACGACGGTGGCTGCGTGGGGCGACGAAGGATTTGGGGGAATCTCATGCTTTCCTGTACTCAGAATTCGCTCTCGGAGGGTCGGCAGCAGCGATAACCCATCGGGCCTGGAAATCAAGCCCGAAGGATCTTTGGGTTCTCATGCATTCCTGTGCTCGGATTTCACTTTCGGGGAATCGTTGGCAGCGAAAATCCATCGGGCCTGAAAATTAAGCCCGACGGATTTGGGGGAATCTCATGCTTTCCTGTACTCAGAATTCGCTCTCGGAGGGTCGGCAGCAGCGAAAACCCATCGGGCCTGGAAATCAAGCCCGAAGGATCTTTGGGTTCTCATGCATTCCTGTGTTAGGATTTCACTTTCGGGGAATCGGCGGCAGCGAAAATCCATCGGG